CGCCCGCCGGTCTGAGCTGAACGGTCATTTCGACGGTTCAGCCCACGGTGCAGGAGGCCAGCATCGAGGCCGACCGGCCACTGGACGGTACTTAGGCCGGTCCAGCGGCCATTCCAGGAGGTTGGAACGGGAGCAGCCAGAGTAGCGCTGCGCTATTTCGGTTCAGCAAAGCGCTAGGAACTGCAGCGCTAGTTTTAGCGCACTGCAGTCCAGGAGGAGCGAGGAGGAGCGAGGAGGACTCACCTGAGACAGTGGAGCGCCATAGCTCCAGCGATCTGCAGCAGGACTCCCGCCGCCGCCAAGACGCCAGCTTGCTATCCGCAGGTTCGGCCTGAGGTCCCTCACCAGCTCCCCCCATCTCTACCTCTCCTCTCCATCTCAGCCTTCTTCTTCTTCTTCTTCTTCTTCTTCTTCTTCTTCTTCTTCTTCTTCTTCGTCTTCTTCTTCTTCTTCAGATTGGAGACTAAGATACGAGTTGGACAGAGATCAGTGTTTGGACTTCGGTAGTCGGAGGCTGTGGTACTTACCTGGTTTCGAGACATTGGAGACATTGGGATTGATACCCAGTGGCATCACAGATCGGACATCGGTTACATTGGGATTCTGTACCTCCGACATTGGTGACTCATGTCCGCTACGTTCTGGTTTTGTTCGGTGACATTTTGGCTACCATATCGGTGACCTTCTGGATTCTATCTCGTTGACATCTGGCGCTGTCACATCTCCCACCTCCATCGTCTCTCCTCCCACCATTCATCTGTGTCTGATTGTACGGGGCCTGAAGCATCGTCTATGCATGGCTTCAGACCCCACCATCCCACGATTGCTTGTGTGTTGAGTGATGTTGGGTGAGTTCGGTCTATGTGAGTCAGTCCATTTCTCAGACTTCCGCTGCATACATGCTCATCCTATATTGGTTGATCTTTGGTTCTGCCCATACTTGGTGAAGTATTCACTAATATGCAACAGCACATGAGCAAGTTGTATATGGTCCTGAAGGCTGTATACATTCTATGATTTATTCTGTGACACACGCACACATGTGAGGTGAGATTCTACTACCGTTGTAATATATGCGAATGATGCAGCACTAGACTTTTGACTTTGAGGTTCGAACTCACCTCCAGCAGCGTAAGAAACTTTGCAAGCAATGTGTAGCCACATTTCCTCATGTCCTCCACAGCAGAGCTCAGGCTGGCAAATGCAATGGACAACAGCCCCAAGCGAACAAATTCACGGGCATCAAATAGTTTGTTGTCAATTCCATGATGTATTAGCCGGAATATAAAAGCTGGATCATATCCTGCAGCTTTCAAATCCTCTTCGGCTTTCAGAAAGGAACCAGCACCATATCCCACCAGAGCTCCATATACTTGTTGGTCCCCTTTGATCTGTACTCCATGTCCCTCTTCACCCTTATCTGTACCTGATTCAACTCCCTCAGTGTCAGTCACTCCCGTAATCTCCAGCTGCCTATTCTTTGGGAAAAACAAGACGGTCAACGCGCATCGTCGTGGGTCAATTAAGAACTCCTTGAATGTGCGCTGGCGTGCTTCCAGCTCTTGGTCACTGCTTCTCTGCTCACCACAAGACATCCTCTCCTTCCTCACCCGCCGTGCTACTTGCCCCCACAAGAAGTCGAACTCCGCCATTCCCTGCCCAATGCCCGGTGGTGCAAACTTCTCGATCTTCAGCATTACGTCCAATATCTGACGGTCCAGCCGACTCATCGTGGCACCATAGCAAGCCATCAGTACACTCAGCAACTCCGCCCACCCGACAGCTTCAAGCCCTTGTCCTTCAACAGCTTCCAGCCATGGCTGCCACCGAAGCAAAACACGAAGAAGACAAACCACCTCCAACTTGACTTCTTCCTCACTCTCTTTGATTAGAAATCCATTCTCAACACCTTTGCTATGTGCAGGCGCTACAGCAGTGGGTGCTGATGTTGGCATTTGCTTTCTGGAAACCATGGCTGTTCTCGTTCCTTGGACATACGAATCAAGACCATCACCACACTGAGCACTTGCAGGATCGATGATGACAGGGGAATCGATCAGTGAAACAACTGACATCAGAGTATTCGGAGGGTCTTTTTCCGCATGCTTTCCGAAAGCTGCTGGGAGTCCTGCTGACTTGTGCTGCTGTAAAAGGGTTGGCACAAAGTGTGAATGGGCAACCAACAGTTCAAACGCCTCAACAGCGAGCCTGCGAACATCATCGAACTCTTTCATGTGTTTGGCATCCTGAGTGCCACCGTCTCCTACAACTGGAGTTTGATGTCTCCCATCTAACAGATTATGATCCCCACAGCTCACGGCATTGTACAACGCTGACAGGCAACTGAACGCTGTGGCATGAGCGTATCGATGGCGAAGAGTTGCCATAGTGAAGATCCTGAGGGCAGAGGCAAACGACTTTCCACCAACGGGGCCGCCGAGCCACTTTGCAATGCTCAGTAAGCAACCCTGCAATTTGTCTTCCAAATCCTGCACAGCCTCCTCAAGTCCAGGAATCTGACCAGATGCTGATCCTGAAAAACCCTTCTTGAGGCTTTTGTACACAGTTGACAAGGTCATCATCAAAGCCACAGCATACCTAACGGCATCTTTGGATGCTCGTTTATCTGAAGCTTCCATTCTGAGTCCATCAGCTGTGCTGGGGCGTTTAAAGCCCCCATTGATCATCACATCCTTGTCGACAACCCCCTCGCCACACTCAGGGCCTGCCATCTCTTTGTCATTTTCACGAGGCTTCCCTCTGCCTCCTGTCAGATGCTCGGCAAGCAGCAACCTAGCCGCAGAAGCAACGCACGAGACGCCCGCGACCTCCTCAAGCACCATGTTACAATCCGTCTCATTCAGTTTGCTGTCTGCGAAGCCCTCGGCCACGTTTGGGAGGGCCCAGCCACCCTTTGGAACTAGCGACCTCACAAGCTCCCTTGATTCAGACTCGTACGTCAGAGGCATGATAGCGATGCACTTCTCAAGAAGTTCGAGGATGACAGGCCAAGATGCATTGCATGTGACCACACATTCTTGATCACTCACGGGTGCAGAGTCCCGTGTGCCTCCCCCTGCTCTTCTCTTGAGGAGACCAAGGAGGAACGATCGGACAACAGATACCACTGGCCGTGCCAGTTTCTCATCCTCAGCATCCAGACTATGCTTGATGGACCTCAGGAGAGACGTAAGATGTGGGCCAGGTATGTGGCACTCTCCGCTCTCATGACTCTCTTCCGCGTCGCGAACTCTCTTTGCATCAACCATCAGCGATGCAAGACCTTCATCATCCGCAGTCTGATTCGCAGCTCCCTTTGCCAGGATACGGAGAAAGGCTCCTCGAAAAAGCGGGTTTCTCTGAACCAACTGCTCAACCACCAAGCTCCGTGTCGGTGTTGGCTGTTCAGTAATCAAAGACATGTATTGGATAGGCACAGCCAAGGAGAAATCAAACACCGGCGACCAAGACCTACTACTACCATCTATACAGGAAGATGAAGCAGTTACTGCTGCCAAAATACACTGATCCACAGCAGCTGATGGCCTCGTTAATGCAAATTGACAGATGCCTTGGAAGATTCTTACGAGATCAACGGCAATATCTGCTCCATTGCCGCTCGGACGAGGTTCACGGCAACCGTTACTTTGTGCTGCAGACCTTCGATACGACACTCTTCGTGCCACGGGTTCTACGACAGGCGGGTGAACACCACTCTTGGAACCTCTTTCAAACACCACCAGGGCAAGGCGCAAGGCTAGATTATCAAGACTTGCACTCGTTGGTGCATTATTTCCTTGAATATACGCCCCTCGCTTAGCCGGTCCAGAGTCGTCGGAAAGGAGAAGCAACTTGAGTAATGCCATTGCAGTGTGAAACTCACAGTATGGTGCGAGGACCATGCAGCTATACAGTAGAACGGAATCACACTCTTCTGGCAGCACTGCAGATGATGACGAGGATCTCCTGCTGTCAACTGCTCTCCCATTTGGATGCCTCTTCATGGTCGACCCGCATTCTACTTCACCAGCACGAGTGCTCAGCGACCTTAACTGAAGCTTGAGCTTTCCAAACGCCTGAGATACATAAGGGGCACACAATTTCACTGCAGCCGACTTCCTTCCATTAAGCCAGACATCCCCTTTTGCTGAATCAGACCACAAAGGCGAACAATGTTCAAGAATATTCTTCACCAGCAGTGTGATGTGGAGGTCGATAGCATTTGGGACAGTATACAAGAGGGAGCCCTGGCTCTTCACATTATCGTCCACAGGCTCTACATTGCAAAGATAGATATCAAGCAGGCCAGTCGGACCGAGAAGAAGTGCAGCCAAATCATTCAACAAACTGTCTTCCGAGTCTAATTTGCAAGGAGGTGGCATCAACACAAAGCCGAGGAGGTGAAAGCAAGCAGTGATGGGATTCCACAGCTTACTATCTGGGCGTAAAATGTCCAGTGGCGTGGAGGTCGTAATCAAACGATGAAGGTCCTCCCGGACGGATTTGAGATCGGAACTACGATAGTGCATACGTCGCATTGTCACTAGCCTTGACACAATCAGTTTCACGCAAAGTATTTTCAAATGAGGACGAGACCTCTCAATTCCTGCCATCAGAGTATCCATGATAACAGGTCTCACCATCACTCCTATTGCCTTTGGCATGGTCAGATCGAATGCGACAGCGGGTTCAACTGACGACAAGAATTTGACAATCTCTTTTCCTAATCTCCCTCTCTTCCCTATGTCGAATGGCAGAACCTGTGCATTGCCGACTTCATCCACCTCCATGTCCGCCGCATCTTCCAGCGATGCAGAGTGATCATCCTCTATTGCTGCCGTGTTATTACCTATTTTGTCTGCCTTTAGCGGACTGCTATCCTTTCCAGGCTTCTCAATAGGATCACTTTCCCCTTCAAGAAATTCTTTCAGCCAAATCGACTGCCGGAGCAAAGACGAGTACGTGCTACAGAAAACTGAAATTGTGTTGAAGTCACCACCAAAGCAGGTTTTGCAAACATGGACTAGATTGGGAAAATGCTCTGCCACAGATTCAGGCTGCATGCTGAGTATTGCATGCAGGAACGCAGACTGTAGGTCATCCTGCAAATCGTCATTACGCCGTGGCGTTTCAACAGCTACTTGTCCATCCACCTCTCCCTCGTCATCTGTCATTACAACCACAGCTTGAGACTCCACCTCTTTGCTGGCTACAACACACGCCGCGCAGACGTCCAACACTGACTTTACAGGCAAGCCACTCCACATCAAATGCTCATTTGCCTTGCTTGATTGTTTACGTGTCCCAAATGGGACAAATGTGCCATTCGGAACTGCCTGGACACTCTGGTCCGCATCATCGACTTCACATCCACTTAGAATTCCGTTCACGATTGCCAGTAAGTGCTGGACAGGAGCCCATTCACAATGAAACCCGCCTTCCTGGCCAAGATCGTTTCCCGAAGAGAGGTGGCTTTCAGAAGACAGGATGGACCTTAAAACGACTGCCAGTGAAACGCGATCCGTCTGCAGATAGAAGACAACACCAAAACGAAAAAAAAAAAACAAACACAGCGAAACGCTTTCAACACGCGGAACACAATGCACTGGGCAACAAAATATGGGCAATCATTACGCGCAAAACAAAACTCAATCAGAATCCAGTCCTCGACTTGAGGACATCTATCCTTTCTCAAATTCGTTCGCGTTAGTCCTTATAATGATAGCACTAGATGACCTGTTGCGGCTTCGCTCGCAAAAACAAATAAGACGGGAACTGCCGGATGCAATCTCTCTCTCTCTCTCTCTCTCTCTCTCTCTCTCTCTCTCTCTCTCTCTCTCTCTCTCTCTCTCTCTCTCTCTCTCTCT